GCCCCTCCATGTTGTCACAATGGCAGTATGTCACTTCCTCCTACTGTGTGTATGCGCCGCATCTTTACCCCACCTTCCGGTGAAGGACACGGCTGTTTCCATGTCTTATCACGCCTCTTTTTACAGTGTAAGGACTGAGCAGATACCAGGTAACCAGAGATCCAGGTCCTTGATCTTTTCTTCTTCAATACTGGCCTCTGATGTAGGTGAAGATACAGAAGGCCATGTTATTTGCAAAAGTCACGAAGACGATTAATATGATTAGCGTAATATTTGGCAGAGTGATTGAATAAATTGCGATACACTTGGATACAACATGGAAATCAGATTAAATTTAATGAGGGTACGTAGGAGAACGTACAGTTAAATTTAAATAAGAAGGACACTCGGTGCCAGGGACGAGACAGTTGCTTCACACGGAGAAGATGCGGGGGGCTGTGGGGGGCACGAGCGTCTTGGGGACGTGTGTGATGCGGTGGCTGAAACCATCCCCCTGGCGTAGGTTTTTACTGGTCGTTTCCCCTGGGTCATTTTTTATTGTCTGTACCTGTTCTTTTACCCATTTTTCTCAAGTTAACTAGCGGATTGTCTATTTTGTTAATCCCCCTGTCCCCCGCCCCCCAAAAAAGAAAAACTAGGATGCAGATTAGTTGGATCTACCATTTTTCGGCAGAAGAACCTCTGCCTCATTAATCAGCTTTTCTATCCATTGTTTTCTTCCTTGTGTTTTCTTTTGGGTTACTCTGTTGTTCTTTTTCTAGTTTTTATGAGCCGAGATCTATTAATTCATTAATTTTATTTCATTTTTATTGATAAAATAGTACAGTGTCCTTTTCTCTGATTGCTGCTTAAAATGCATTCTGTAGATTCTGACCTGTAGTGTTTGTCTTGTAATTATTTCTTTCAGGTTCTGCATTTAGTTTGTATTTGCTTTCACCTAAGAGTCCATAAATGGAGGGGTTAAAGTCTCCGAGTGGAAGTGCCTTTCTGTTTTCCGTCTTTGTTAATAATGTGTAGTTTTATTGCATTGTTGTCAGAAAGTGTTGTTTGCGGTATTTCTACCTTATGGAAATTGTAGATGTTTTCTTTGTGACCTAATATATGATTGGTTGTGAATGTGCCATAGGTTCTCGAGAAGAATGTGTGTTCTCTGTTATCAGGGTATCAAGTTCAAGATCTGTCTTGATCGATAGTGTTTAGACCTTCTGTTTCCTTAATTTCTGGATCCTCTGCCGCGTGCCGAGAATGGTGTGTTAATCTCCCGTGGTTCGTGTGTTTCTGTGTCTCCTTGCATCGCTGTGGTCTTTGCTTCATCGGGTGGTGGTTGTGTTATTTGGCGCACACTCGGATTCGGTGGTGTTTCTATTTTTACTAGCCTTATTTTCAGAATTTGGCATTCTCTGTCTTTAAGTTTTGCCCAGGGTATGGTTCGATGCAGAATTTCTAAAGTTTCTCTTTCTGTAGTTTCGTATCATTTGGGAAGAACTCTGGGGAGGTAGGTAACTGCTTAGCCGCCCTTGTATTCAGCCACCTGGAGGTCAAGCTCTTAGCTTAAGAAATTATTCTAAACTTAAGGGGCTCAGAGTTCAATATTTTTCCTTTTAATCTTTAAGTATCTGTTTTAAAGCATGTTAGAGAATAATAAAACTAGCAGTCTAAACCCATGATATAAAGTTTCTATAGTGAATAAATCCATTATATAAAGAGGAGTCAATTTAGAAAATATTAAATAAATAAGTAATAGTATAGATGATAAAAAAATTTGGCACAAATCATGAGGCTGGTTTGCAAGTAACCGAAGGAGCGGCGGGCACTGGTGTAGCCGGTGTGTTTTCCGCCTGCGGCGGGAGCTGTCCAGCACCGCCTGCGGTGGGCCCGGGGACCGGGAGACCACTGTTGGTGCTGAGCGCAGGGCAGACTCCCTGGCCCTCGGCCAGGGTCCCCTACCCCTAAATCAGTGTCGGTGAAAACGATGTCACTCCTCAAAATACATAGTCTTGGAACTTGGAGTCATTTGTCTCTCTAGCATTGGAGGGTTGCTGCGTAGTGTGCCCTCTTCAGTCCCTGGGGGAGCAGAAGCTGAGTGGGAACTTCCCAGAGGTTCCCAGGCCGGGCTGGGCCGGGCCGGGCGTGCGGCTCTCGAAGTAGGTGAGTTTGCCCTTGGGTTCAGGAAGAGGAAATGTTACTCACGTTGTAACTTACCACGCAGCAAAAACGTGGTGAAGCGTATCACTAGTTCCTTGAACAAAATGTATAGGTTTTGTACACTTTCAATATCAATAAACCAGTCATAATAGTTTATTATAAAAGTGTTGGCCAAAATTGTTAAAATGACTATTTTAAATCTATAAAGCTAAGTAAGTATCAGACAGTGCAGGAAGTAATGAGGTTAAGTATAATGGATGGCGGTTATTCCTGAAGATAAAGTTTAACGTGGTCTCCTCCAGTGTCCTATAAACTGCCCCAGCCCCACGGGGGTCTGCATGTGCCGCCGAAGTTTTCCGAAAGCGGGTTTAATCAGAGATGTGCATTTTAGGAGGCCGTCTCAAGTGAAATTTCGTTTGTTCCAGAAGCGGGCACGCAGGAGCCCCGATGCAGCCGCGCAGGACTGGGGCCGACCCCAGGTGACGGCCAGCGGCCCCACGACATGGGCCAGCCGGGGCAGCCCAGGCCCGGAGGCACAGCCCGGAGGCCGCCTCCCTGTGGGCAGGCCAGACGCCAACCAGGGGCCACGGAGCGCTGGGGTAAGTTCCTGTCCCTGCCGAACAGCTGGGGACCCATGTGACTGTTTTAAGGGAAGGTGTAAGTGTCCGCTGTGCTGATGCCTCTGTGGCTGTGATTTGTTGAACAGGCGCCTGGGAGCGGCGGCAGCGGTGGCAGCGGCGGGAGCGGCGGCCGGGCCTGCCGGAGATGCGCTGCGGGTGAATCGGTAAGTGCAGCTTCCCGCCTGGCCCAGAGACGCGCTCTTAAGTGTCAGGCGCATGAAGCGAAGTCGATAAAAGTGGCAGTTACGTTTCCAAGGAATGAGGAAGGTAGATGAATAGTGCAGATTGATGTAAGCGCTTCTTAGCTTTCTGCCGGGGTGCGGACTAATGTGTTTCCGCTTCAAGTTAGAAAGAGAAATTTGAAAATACATTGACAATTCTTTCTCAAAGCACGGTTCAGGGAGGGGACGGGCCATGGGATAGGGTGAACAGAGGTCTTTTGAGGACATCTGGGAGAAAAGACCCACCCTCATTTAGTTATCCAAGTAGAGCCCACGTTGTTTTATTATCTCTATTTAAGCTTTTCTTTCATGTTTCCGTAAACTTCCCAGAAACCACACTCTTCAGGAGAAACGCAGCATTCACACCGCTAATTCAAAGTAACGAGAGGTCTAACAGGGCCAGAGTCAGACTGTCAGTCTGCTGTGTCAGGCAGACTGTCGGGAAGTGTACATTAGCATAATAATACCTTCCTTATTAATTTTGAGCTTGTTTAAGAACAAGTTAATATATCTTTGATAACCTCTGTAATTCTTGGGTTTTTCTTAAATTTAAAATTTGGAATCTTAATACTGCAATAAAGTAGAATTGTATTTAATTTCCACACAGAAACCAAGAGCGTGTGTGCGTGTGCGTGTGTGCGTGTGCGCGTGCATGTGTGTTTCTGCTGTTGCCGCCTGCGGATTTTTAGAGAAATGTATTGCTGTGTTTTTGATAACCACAAGATTGCGTCAGTAAATTAGAGAGAGCTTCAGTTGACACATTGCAAGCTACTGTGTTTTATAATGATAGGCAATGAGCTTGTTTCAAACCGAGAACTGAAACTGTGTCAGTTGTCACCCGTGGAAGCCTGATTCTCTGACGTCATTAGCCAAGTATGAGAAGAAAGCCTTGCGTCAAGCCCCTCCTCAGAGGTGTGCTTTTCTACCTTTCGTGCCCCATCTTCAGGAGGATCTCTGCACAGTGGGGAAGTCAGAGACCCAGAAACTTGAACTGACTGTGCTTAGGCTGCCTCACGTGACTGCCAAACGCCCCCTGCAAAGCGAGTAGATAGTTGGGCCCTGAGAAACACGACCCCGTGCTGGGCGCATTGCGCTGGTGCCGGCGACTCCTGGCTCTCACACCGTGTCGGTGGAATGTGCCTTTCAAACCCCGCACCCGTCGGCAGACCCTGGGAATGAAACGTGAATTCCTAGCGCTCCGAGAGCGTGTGTTCTGGCATGAATGGCTGAAAGGGAAAAAAATTTGGCTCAAGCGACTGATTGGATCATTTTGGCTAATGTTCTGTTTGAACAACAGTACCTATTTGATTAGGGTTTTACCTTCCTTTGGAACTCCCCAAGCTCACCTCTTACGTTTCATAGGAAATGAATCTGTGAACAGGAAACCTACATTGATATGTAAATATATCATTTTTTTGTTAATGCTCGATATTCTTTTTCATCTAAATTTCAGAAACCGACTTTAAAAAATCAGTTTCTCTTTATTTGTAGTTATTCTCAATAAAATTTCACCGCGGTGTGGGTGATTTAATATTTACAGCCGCTATTTCTAGAAGTCTTATGTCAACAAAGATTGAAATGTGAATTCGAAGTCACGCCTCTTGGTATTTGAACAGACTCTAGCTGCACATATCTTTTTCTAATAACGCGGCTAGTTTCGCTCCTAAGCTTTTAAAATAATAGACACCATTTTTGTATTCCGGAGCATCGAAAGTTCAGTGTTAAACAAGAAGCAAACAGTATTTTTAGCGACGCGGGGTCCCAGGGAGAAGCGCTGAGCACACATCTCCGGTGGGCAGTGGCTCCGGCCTCGACGGCTTCATCAAACACGCGGCCCCGTGCGCAGAGCGCGCCCTCGCCCAGCCCCATGGATGACCCGGGCGGCGACTCGGATGGCTGGTGGGGCGTCCCTCGTAGGAAGCCGGCCCGTGTGTGACTCAGCTTATTTGGTGCTTCTCCCCAGGGGCCTCCACACCCTGACTCCCGGTGTGCGTCCCGCCCCAGTCGCCATCAGCCGGTCCTGTCAGCTCTGCTCTGAAGCCGGGGTGGCTGTCTCAGTCGTCTGTTCCCGTTGTCCTTCTGTCCTGAGCTTTCCTTTCTTTTCATCGTGAGTCACTTCCCGCCAGTGCAAGGTCTTGCCTTCTCACGCAGGCAAGCGCTTCTCCTCGCACGGTCTCACACTCGTGTCCCCAGCTGGCACGTCGGTGGCTGCTCTGGCGGTGGCTGCAGCCATCACTACGGCAGTAGCTGCCGCCTTGGTTTCTTCTCGAGGCTGCCGCAAGGCTCGGCCCGTAGTACCGGTTGTTGTTGAGGGCACCTCCTCCTAGTCCCGAGCCACCTGCTAATGTCACTGACAGAACGTGGCATCGTCATTCGGGGTGTCCGCCCGGGCCCGGCTGCCATCTGCTGCGCGCCATCCCGCGCTCCCAGTCCGGGAGCAGCGCCAGTGGCCGCCGTCACTGGCAGGCTGCCTGGCTTCCCCAGGGCGTCGCAGAGCTGGGCCATGCCCTGGGAGCAGGCATCCTCTGTCGGCCAGCTCAGCCCGTGGGGTCCCAGCGTGACAAGGGAAGCCTCCCGTTCTTTGCATATTCAGAGCCGTCAAATGAAGCCCAATGAGGGTCTCCAGGATAAAAAGGACACGTGAAAAGGGGGTGGCATTGTGAGACGGAAAACTAGAGGGAGAGCAGGTTTAGGGTGTGGTGGGGCAGGTGCTGTCCCCTCGGCACCGTGCGTTCCGTGTGGTACCTGCTCTCTGACACACTGGCTCCCCAGGGAAGGGGCCGCCTCAGGGATGAGTGGGCCCACATGACGGGCAGACAGCCACTTTCCCTCAGTTCCGTCCCCAGCCGTGTGTCCCCTGCTCTGTCTCGTGGAGACACTGGGCAGGAAGCCGAGCACCCCGCTTTCCCCGCTTCCCTCCTGTCCTCCCTCCAGGGTCACAGCTCCCGCAGGGGTGGCCCTGCGGGCCCAGCGCTTGCTAGTGGGCGCCTGGGCTCCCTTTGCCCTCTGGCCGCGGGGCGTTGGGCCACCCCCCCTTGCGCGTGGCTTCTCTTCTCTCTCACTGCTTGTGCAGCTGGGTGGCGTCAGCGTCCCTCCGTTGGGAATACCTCGGTCGGTTCCTGTTCCCTGGACCCTCCCTGGGCTAATCAGCCAACGAACGGAAAAAAGAGAGAACGCTGTCCTCGGCGCAGGACTCTGGTCTTGGTCGCCCACCCCCAGGCTCGGGCTCCGCTGTGGGTGCTGGCAGAGCCGGGCCCAGCCGTGCGTCACACGGGCCTTTGCTGTCGCCTGTCGCCGGTGTCCGTTTGCTTTCTTTCACCCGCTTTATTGGGTGTTATTTCCCAAACCGGTAGAGAATTGCCACCTGAAAGCCAACAGGGAGAACGTGACTCTTCGTGGTGATGGAGACCAGCTCCGCCCGCACCTCCCAGCAGACCGGTCTTGGGCGCGGGCCTGTTCCTTAGTGCTGAGGGCAGATGCGAAGTGAGCAGTCTGCATAAGCCTCAGTCTTGCTCACCTGGTGGCCGCGACTCTGTCGCCTGGCAGCGGGGTGGGGTGGCGAAGACCAGCGGGCACCGCAGGAGCAGCGCGGGCGGCCGGGGAGGGGCGCTGGGCCCGAGCCCGCCGCTGGCTTCACCTTTCCTCCCTTTTCCCCTGTAGGGACGGCAGAGGGAGCCCCGAATGGTCATCATTCAGGTTCTAAATGGACACAGATTTTTCTTTGCACCCCTGTCGTCTCCGGATGCTGTGTTCCATTCGCCTGTCTCGTTGGCGATGGCTTCGTGCGTGTGTAGCACCTGCCGCGGCGGCAGCGGTCCTGCCTGTGCTCGGTCCACGAGGCCCGGGTGTCAAGCCAAGGACAAAGGCCAAGGAAGAGCCTGCGGTGCCTTGACGTAGACTAAGAGAGAGCGACGCGCAGTGGTTCGCTCTTTGGGTCCCGCTTCAGCCGCAGCCCGTTTCTCGTCCGCTCTTCTCTCTTATGTCCCGAGAGGAGAAGACGCGGCCATGGAGGCCTCAGCGGGCTTCATCGATCGTCTGCACAGATCCCGTTGTGCTGAGTGCGTTTTCCCCTCGGTTTGTCAGGGAACCTGGAGTTCATCGGCCTCGCCCCATCGATTCGCAGATAAGGGAAACGAGGTCCACGGGGCTTAAGCGATCGGCCTGCTGGGCACCATGGTTGATAGGCGGCTGGGCTGCGGCCTCCCCTGCTCTTCGTGGCGGCGTGTGTGTTGACAGCCAGTGTGCCAGCATCACTCCCCCGCGCTGGGGGCAGCGACCTGCCCTGACACCCCTTAGAAGTGCAGCGAGGAGATTGCAGGTCTTCATGAATGTCATCCCCAGACACAGTGAGAGCCTCTGGGCCAGGACCCAGGGCCGGACTGTTTAAACTGGAAGAATAAACTAGCCAGCAGGAGAGTCTGGCTGGGTCAGTGCAGCCGACTGTGGATCCTCAGATTGATGAGTTTGAACAGGCTTGCTGACAAAATCTTCACATTGAGCTTCTGACAGGAAACGTCCTTTCTTGTATGTGGATACCAGAAAAATAGTTATTAAAAATGTTAATTCATTTTGATCATTTCCAGGCTCTGAAGGAACGGAGCCTTCAGATGATGAGAACAAAACAAATCTCTTTCTCTAGGAATGCAGATGTTAGACTATGAGGGGATGGCGAAATGGAAGAAAAGTTGGCACTTTAAGAAAAGTACAATTTAGACGTCTTATGAGCATGTTAGACGATGCAGTGCGTCCCCCCGTCGCTCCCAGTGCTTCAGACGACATCAGATGACAGCATGAAATACACAGCTGCGCGCGTAAGTGGAGAGAGAGCAAACAGAGCAGTAGCTACAGCGCATCCGGGCGGCTGTCCTTGGGTCTTGGCCTTTGTTGGATTTGGCCCTGGATTGGGCCAGGGGCTGGAGCTAGAACTCTAATGTTCAGAGACGGGTGTGACTTAGGCCGTGGGAGTGTGGCAGCTAGAATTTGGACCCTTGCATAAAGTTCAGAGCCTGTAAGTCTGCTCTACTTTAAAAGGGGAGAAGTTAAAATACCAGGCCGAACGTGGGTGTGGGCTCCAATTTTATTCTGTCTCAGTGGTATAAGAACCAAAAGCCAAAGCATTAACATAAAAGTAGATGCCACTATTGAAGTCCTTAAGGTCTTGGGTAGTGGCAAAGGCAGCATTGTCCTGTGGGCTTCTGCCACCCAGAGCCCACAGGACTCAGAGACAGAACAGCTACACCGGGGGTGAGAAAAAACGAAAAAAACACATAAACAAGTCACCGTGGTTTGGTGGCAGCGGGCGGTGGGGGGGGCGGATCAGGAACTACAACAAACAATACAAACCTCCAAGAACCTGAAGTAATAAAAAGAAACTGAAGTTCACTGTAGAGGTGAGTATTTTAATTTTTAAAAGTGACTAAAGAAGAAATAAAGCTATAATGCAAGAAGAGGACAGTATGAAAAAAGTAATTGGAAAGTTGAAAGAACTTTTAAAAGTGAACGATATTGTTATCTAAGTTAAAAATGTTAGACGCAATTAAAGACAGAATTTGTGAATTAGAAGATAGATCTGGGGAAATTGTCCAAAATACAGCAAGAGAGATAAAAAGATGGAAACTCTGAAAGTGTGACTAAGAGTTATAGAGGAAAGAATGACAAGGTCCATGAGGAAATCCAGAAGGAAAGAATTTAGAAGAGGAAAATATGATGAACAGATTTGAGAAGAATTCCTTTTGAAAAGATGATGGCTGAGAATTTCCTAGAATTGAAGAAAACCAAACAATTTTGAAGCAGAAAAACAAAGTGAGGAAGATCACCTGTCAGATGTCAAGATACATTACAAAGCCCTGATAATTAAGACGATGTTTTATTGGCCCAGGAATAGACAAATAGACCAGTAAGTAAAATCAAGGACTTTAAACCTGCATATGGCGGCTTGATATGTTATAGAGAAGATAATACAGGTCAGTTGAGAAGAAGGTACTATTTAATTTGTGATAGGACAATTGGCTGTCCACATATGA